ATTGTGTATTGAATAGGTGTCAGCGCTGTTAATGGTGCCGATCTTCATGTACGCCAATACACTAGAACTGCCGCAAACCATATCGTGTAATATATTTTGGCCCGAAAGCGATCTCATGAATGGCGAGAAGGCGTTCACGTTATACACGTTTACTCTCGGCTTTTTCATACCTTTTGTACTCATTCTGCTCTTCTATTTCCTCGTCATCTGTAAACTAAGAAGAGTTGGCCCTAAGAATCGGTCCAAAGAGAAGAAACGCTCGCATAGAAAGGTCACATACCTTGTGCTCACTGTTATATCGGTGTACGTAATGTGTTGGTTGCCTTATTGGATCGGTCAGGTCTACATCACTTTCCTGCCGCCCGCGCCCTCCCATCGGTGAAACGCTCGCATAGAAAGGTCACATACCTTGTGCTCACTGTTATATCGGTGTACGTAATGTGTTGGTTGCCTTATTGGATCGGTCAGGTCTACATCACTTTCCTGCCGCCCGCGCCCTCCCATCGGTTGGTCTATTATATACTTATTATATACATATTCTGTTCATTCGTTTAATTATGCAAAACCTGATTTCGAGTCAAGAATTTGCTTTTTTTATTCAATCGAGTGGACAGTCTGTCTGTCTGTCTGTCTGTCTATCAAAACAAATATAATTATAAACAAAGTACTATTTATATACATTATTCTAGCAATCTTGTGAGATTAATAGCATGTGCGATATAAATATATGCAGGAATAAATTATTAATAGCAGTAATTTTTAAACGTCTATTCAAATCAAAACAAACGCTTGAATTTTAAAACAAAACTTTATTTGACGTCAGGTTTTTAAAAATAAAGTACTGTTATATTGTTTGTTGTAATTGTGATCAAAACAAATGAAAATCAAAGCAAGAATTGATTGATTCTGTTATTCTCTAACATATTTATTGTGTATACAAAACAGACATTCAGAAGCGAGTTTAACATTTATACTACTGGCCGGTTGTCTTTCATACGCCAACTCAGGTTATTATACACACAATATATACTATTTTAACAAATAAATAATTAAAATCACCGGAATCTAAAATCTAATTACTGTTTCTAATTATATGTGCAACACTTTCTACATTATTCTCGTTGGCGTTTTTTTGTCGATACAGCTGTGAATCCCATTCTTTACGGTATGTATTATACATAGAGATATTGGCAGTCAATTAGTTGACAATTAGATCACACGCCGAGACCTAATTGATAGCCGAGCGCTAATTTTATTAAACACTAATCACTAGTTAATGAGAGTAAATTGAAAGCGAAAACAAAACACACAAAACACACGGTTTATTTATTTCTCTGTTTATTATATCGTGTTTTTTAAATAGCATTTCTATCGGAAAACTTCAAGAAGTCGTTCAGTCGGGCGTTCACTTGTGTCAGCGTAAAGGAAGTGAACGCACAGCTGAACGTCGAGAACTCGGTGTTCCCGAAGAGCGCCAGAGGGTCCACGAAGACTGGCGGCGGGTGTGGCGGTGCGGCCGGCCGTAAGGCCCGCAGCTGTGGCGGCGGCACAGATAACGGCGAGACCGAGGCGTTCAGTAATTTTGTGTTACACGAGAGCAATATTGAACACCACAACGACATCGATATGTCCACCGCTATCACAATGACATCCAGGTCTCAGTGTTTGCCGTCTCAGGAAAAGGACAGTCTCTTTAATAATGGATGTATGGATGCGTCCAACTCTATCAGCAGTCAAAATGTCTAATTCTTGTATACATTTGGTATTATATTATGAGCTATCAATACAGCTATCGAGACGATTATTCCTCTCATTTTATTTCTCTATTTCTATTACAATATTCAAAATGAATGTAAAATTTATCACAATTTTTCCGAATTATTACCGAAGAAAAATGTATTAACGATTATTGTTAACACATTTCAATTCATGAGTACTAATCAATAATAACGATAGCTTTGTGTTGACTGCGAGACCAACAGTACTTATAATTAAATTTTACATAAAAATCAACAATTATTTGTCGAAAGGAATCATACGATGAATGAATAGGTGCTCAATATATGGGACTCCAATTGATTGAATGCTTTTACTGTAATGTAATCGACGGCAAACACCACAACAAACAAACAAATAAATTATTTAACAAAACAAAAATATATACTATTTTTAATCTTTTATTATAAATATAATTAAAAATCTATAATATTA